GAAACACACTACGCCAGCTGCGGCGTTGCCGCAGGAAGCTCGGTGACCCAGTGGCGCCCGTTTCCCCTTTGTGTTGGTTCAAGGTTCCCTTGTAAAGCAACCAACCCCAAAAAAAGGGATGCCCTTATCATAAGATTTTGTTGCCGGGCGACCAAGGAAGAGCCCTAAGCCCTAAGCCCTAAACCCTCAACCCTCAACCCTCAACCCTAAACCCTAAACCCCAAACCCTAAACCCGAAACCCGAAACCCGAAACCCGAAACCCTAAACCCTAAACCCTAAACCCTAAACCCTAAACCCTAAACCCAAGGAAGAGGAGCTGGTTGAGTTGCCAGAGGGCTCTCCGGACGTGCCGGATCCGCCCTTCACGTTTGTCATCGCCCACCTCTTCAGCCACACCTTCTCAGTCGCAGCTGGGCATGCCCAAAGTTAGTTTCGTTTAGTTTGGTTTGGTTTAGTTTGGTTTGGTGTTAGTTTGGTTTAGTTTCGTTTGGTTTTACTTTAGTTTAGTAGGTTAGTTTAAAAAGTTGTTTTTAGCTTCGGTTGTGTTTAGTTTAGTTTGGTTTGGTTTAGTATAGTATAGTTTAGCTTAGTTTAGTTTAGTTTCGTTTGGTTTAGTTTAATCAAGTTGTACTAGCTTCGGAGTTCAGGGCTTGGGGTGCAGGAAGCTATGCCAATGGCAGTGGGGTCCCCGGGTTTCTTCTGTCCGGGGCGGGCGACATCCCCCTTAGATGATCTGGGGGAGTTCGCTCTTTGTCCTTAGTTGCTGCTTAGCCGAGCCCGACACCCTAAACCCTAAACCCTAAACCCTAAACCCTAAACCCTAAACCCTAAACCCTAAACCCTAAACCCTAAACCCTAAACCCTAAACCCTAAACCCTAAACCCTAAACCCTAAACCCTAAACCCTAAACCCTAAACCCTAAACCCTAAACCCTAAACCCTAAACCCTAAACCCTAAACCCTAAACCCTAAACCCTAAACCCGAAACCCGAAACCCGAAACCCGAAACCCGAAACCCTAAACCCTAAACCCTAAACCCTAAACCCTAAACCCTAAACCCTAAACCCTAAACCCTAAACCCTAAACCCTAAACCCCTAAACCCTAAACCCTAAACCCTAAACCCTAAACCCTAAACCCTAAACCCTAAACCCCTAAACCCTAAACCCTAAACCCTAAACCCTAAACCCTGAACCCACAAAACCCTAATCCCTAAACCCTAAACCCAAAACCCTAAAACTCTAAAGCCCTAAACTCCAGAACCCTAAAGCCCAAGATGCTAAACCCCAAACCCTAAACCCGAAACCCTGAACCCTAAACCCCAAACCAAACCCCTAAACCCCCAAAGCCCTAGAACCCTAAAGTTGAAAGCGAGCAGCCCAAGGAAGTACCCGGAGCCGAGGGGGAGGAACCCCAACTCAAGGACTTCGACCCCTTAGAGGCCCTGACCAGGCCGGGACATCCTGCCGTGGGGTTTAGGGCTTTTGTTTTCTGTTTACCAGGATTTTGGTGATTCTAGGGGACTTGTTTAAGGGTTTTAGGCGTTTGGGGGTTTTAGGGGTTTTCACAGTTTTTTTTTCAGGGTTTTCAGGGGTTTTCCGCGGATTGTCGGGGCTTGGGGTTCATTGGCTTCGGGTTTAGGGCTGAGGTTTGGGGTCTACCGTTGGCTTTTGGGGTTCGAGGGTTCGAGGGTTTCAGGGTTTGAGGTTTTAGGGCTTAGTGTTTAGGTTCATGGCTTAAGGGTGTGGGTAGCCCAAACCCCCAAACTCCCAAACCCTCAACATGCCCAAACCCCTAAACTCCCAAGCACTAAAGCCTTGAATGCTACACTCAACCCCCGCAGCCCGGACTAAACCAAATCCTAAACCCTAAGCCCTAAATCCTAGACCCAAACCCTGAATCTTAAACCCTAAACCCCAAAACCCTAAATCCTAAACCCTAAGCCGACATTGAGGCCCAAGGCAGACCAGGTCGCCCTTAGCTCTACATGGTCAGATTCGTGACTTCGTAGTTTCCATGTGGGTACCTGGTTTTTCGAGGGAAGTATCCAGAAATGTGCCCTAACCCCTCCTGCCCCTAAACCCTAAACCCTAAACCCTAAACCCTAAACCCTAAACCCTAAACCCTAACTCCTAAACCCTAAACCCTAAACCCTCAACCCTCAACCCTAAGCCCGAAAACCTAAAACCCTAACCCTACAACCCTAAACCCCAAGCCCGAAACCCTGAACCCCAAGCCCTGCACGGCTGAGCAGGTTCAAAGCGGAACCCGGCGAGCTAGGAGGTCCCCAGAGCCTGGCCACGCGCGAGGACCGGGAAGCGCGCTGTTGTTCCAGGGCTCGGGGTTCATTTAGGGTTTAGGGTTTAGGGTTTAGGGTTTAGGGTTTAGGGCTCAGAGCCTTTAGGGTTGAGGGTTTAAAGGTTTCGGGGCTTTGGAGCTTTTGAACCCCAGGCTGAACTACCCCGAAAGAATTCCCTCCCCCTAGTATCAACCCCCCCCCTCCCCCCTAATATTAAGTATCCCCATATATAGTTAGATTATAGTACATTTCGGTTTTTTAGTATTAGGGGGTAAGGGGGGTTTAATATCATTAGGGGGAGGGGATTACCCCTTAAACTACGCAGTTCGAACTTCGCCGTTTCTTCCGCGAAGGTCTTGCAGGTTTAGGCCAGGCGCCCACAACGTTTCGGTGTTTAAGGTTTAGACTCTGAACCTTAAACCTGTGGGCCCACCCTGAACCCTAAACCCTAAACCCTAAATCCTAAATCCTAAACCCTAAATCCTAAACCCTAAACCCTAAACCCTAAACCCTAAACCCGTGCGGAAGGAGCTGGAGTCTCTGGCTGAGGGAGGAAGTCTTGCATCTGGACTCCGTCGGAAGGCCGAGGCACACGAAGGGGATAAGGGTTGAGGGTTTCAGGGTTTAGGGTTTAGGGTTTTAGGGTTTAGGGTTTAGGGTTTAGGGTTTTAGGGTTTAATATTTAAGGGTTTCAGGTTTAGGGTTTAGGGTTTAAGGGTTTCGGGTTTAGGGGTTGAGGGTTTAAAGGTTAAGGGTTTTAGGGTTTTAGGGTTTAAGGGTTTCAGGTTTAGGGTTTAGGGGTTGCGGGTTTAGGGTTTAGGGTTTAGGGGTGCAAGGGTTCAAGGGTTTAGGGGTTTAAGGGTTTAGGGTTTAGGGGTTTAGGGTTTCAGGGTTTATGCAAGCTATTTTTGCTACCCTGCATCGTTTCACTTTCATGTGTTGGCATCGTCAGCACGCGTGCAAAGCCCTGTGTGCACAGCCATTTTTCGAAACAGAGTCGAGAGAAGCCCAAAGCTAGTATCCTTAGTAGTAGAGTAGGTAGCCTTTAACCTTGTTGGGTTAATATATTCCCCTTACAATCCCAAGGCTTAACCTTTAAAACCCCTAGGTACTCGACAACTAAAAATCAAAACGTGCGTGAGCTGATCTTTCTTTGCTGGTTTAGCTTCGACGCGCGCTCGGGGTTCCCAGACAGGCACCTTCAGGTCTCAGGGTTTAGGGTTTCGGGTTTAGGGTTTAGGGTTTAGGGTTTCTGTGGGAGATCACAACAGAAAACAGAAACGAGGGTGGGACGGGTGACCTGGGACCAACACAATATGGAGGTTTACGGAAATAGGGGGACCCCAATTTAGATCCCAAATAGTAGGATTCCCTTAAACCCTAAACCCTAAACCCTAAACCCTAAACCCTAAACCCTAAACCCTAAACCCTAAACCCTAAACCCTAAACCCTAAAGCCTAAACCCTAAACCCTAAACCCTAAACTAAACCCTAAACCCTAAACGGCCCTAAACCCTAAACCCTAAACCCTAAACCCTAAACCCTAAACCCTAAACCCTAAACCCTAAACCCTAAACCCTAAACCCTAAACCCTAAACCCTAAACCCTAAACCCTAAACCCTAAACCCTAAACCCTAACCCTAAACCCTAAACCCTAAACCCTAAACCCTAAACCCTAAACCCTAAACCGGGGAACCTGAAGCTTGAACCCGCAAACTCGACGTTTACGCCGTGGTGGAAGTGGTTCAGGGCTTAGGGCTTAGGGCTTAGGGCTTAGGGCTTAGGGTTTAGGGCTTAGGGTTTAGGGTTTAGGGTTTAGGGTTTAGGGGGCTAGTCACCCGGTTAGTCTTAGGGTGGTTACACGGCCCCCTGGTGTGGGCCCTTAAATGGGGACCCCTGACGCACCTCTTTTTTTTCTCCTATATATCCCAAGGGCTCATACCTCCTTAGAGGTCCCTATCAAGGGACCATGTAACGACCCTAAACCCTAAACACTAAACCCTAAACCCTAAACTTCCCTTAGAGTTCGTTCGCCCCCCGAGGTGGAATCGGCGTGCCACCGCCGGAAGAAGGTGAATGCCGCCAGGCGGCTGGCACTGTGCCTCGGATTGCAGGACAACCAGTCGGGTCCCAAAAGTTTGTCTTGTCAAGGATGAGCACGCCGTTACAATGCCACGCCTGTGAAACGAAAGTAACCAGTTGGGTCCCAAAACCTGCAGACCAGGAACAGGAGGAGTTCAGGGCATTTTTGGTTTAAGTTTTGAACCCACCTAAACCCTAAACCCTAAACCTAAACCCTAAGCCCGAAGCCCTTAGCCCTAAACCGAAAACCCTAAACGCCAAACCCTCATTTTGCCAGGCTCTTGGGCTTCAGGCTTGTAAAACCATCAGGGGTCGACAAGCTGTTGGTCAAACCTGGCTTCTAAGCCCTTGGATCCACTCTAGGGTTGAGGGTCCCCAAGCCCTAAGCCCCAAGCCCTAAGCCCCAAGGCCTAAGGCCTAAGCCCTAAGCCCTAAGCCCTAAGCCCTAAGCCCTAAGCCCTAAGCCCTAAGCCCTAAGCCCTAAGCCCTAAGCCCTAAACCCTAAACTCTGAACCCTGAACCCTAAACCCTAAACCCCGATTGTATGAAGAGAACCACACAGCCGGCTGTCAAGAAGCACCTGGACCTCCTCCCGGACAACGTCCGCGAGGCCTTCCATCTCATGGTAGAGAAGGTGCCACCGGCCAAGGAGGTGGTGCTGGCGCGCGCGCGCAAGCCATTCTCGATGCCAGAGAACAGTTCGTGGCCTCGCAGCTGGCAGTCCCAGAGTTCGCGGAGGACGACGTCCCTGAGCTTCCGAGGAGCCCACCTCCTGAGCGGCTAGACATCGTCCTACACCATTCCTAATCAATAGCACTTTCGAGCAGCCGTGCCGGGTATCGTTTATCAGCCTTGCACTTCGCCCGCAAAAACAAATATGAAAGCCCCAAATCCGTCGAGGTTGAGATTTGGGTGGGTTAGGAGAGAACGTGAACTTGGGCGCATGCCGCCACACACGTCCCGCGTGGTGGTGTCTGCGGAGCAGTAGCAACCCTAAACCCTAAGCCTTAAACCCTACACCCTAAACCCTATACCCTAAACCCTATACCCTAAACCCTATACCCTAAACCCTATACCCTAAACCCTACACCCAACCTCTTCCCCCCCGGCTCCCAGGTCTCTGGAGCGGGATTCTGAAGTGGAGGCCGAGGCGGCCAAGTCCATGAGCATCGTCTCATCCCATACGGCCGCCGACTTCACTCTACTGGTGTTAGGCCCGTCGGGGTCCCTAAACCCTAAGCCCTAAACCCTAAACCCTAAACCCTAAACCCTAAACCCTAAACCCTAAACCCTAAACCCTAAACCTTAAACCCTAAACCCCAAACCCCAAACCCTAAACCCCAAGCCCTGTGCGAAGTAGGGCTTGTCTTCGGCTTGTTGGTGCGTGTTTACAGGACTCCTTTTAGTTGGGGGTGTCCCCTTTTGGGAATGCCAGCAATTAAAACTGTAAGCCCTATGTGGGGGGCTGATAGTTTAAACCCTAAACCCTAAACCCCAAGCAGTTCGAAGCCCCCCCAAACGGTTTTTTGGAGCTTTTGCGTTTAGGTTCCAGGCAGATGATCCGGCATTATCCTTGCCTTGACAACCAACACCCCCCCCGCTCAGAAGAAAGGGCCTACAGGCATGCTCTATTTCTCTTGACCTCCGAGGGCCTAGAGCTTCAGGATTTAGAGAACCCCCTGAGCCAACTTAGCAAATCAAGAAATCCTAAATCCTAAGCCCTAAGCCCAAAAACACCTGAACCCCTAAACCCCTAAACCCCTAAACCCCTAAACCCCTAAACCCCTAAACCCCTAAACCCCTAAACCCCTAAACCCCTAAACCCCTAAACCCCTAAACCCCTAAACCCCTAAACCCCTAAACCCCTAAACCCCTAAACACCTAAACCCCTAAACCCCTAAACCCCTAAACCCCTAAACCCCTAAACCCCTAAACCCCTAAACCCCTAAACCCCTAAACCCCTAAACCCCTAAACCCCTAAACCCCTAAACCCCGAAACCCCTAAAACCCTAAACCCCTAAACCCGAAACCCCTAAACGCCTAGACACTCACCAAGCCAGGAACCACAGGGCCTACGGTTAAGGTTTGGTGTTTGCGGGCGCTAAACCCTAAACCCTAAACCCTAAACCCTAAACCCTGAACCCTGAACCCTGAACCCTGAACCCTGAACCCTGAACCCTGAACCCTGAACCCTGAACCCTGAACCCTAAAATTCGTGTTTGCGGGGCTGAAGCCGACGTTTTGGACCGATGCTCAGGCTACCCCTCCACGTCTGAGGAGATCGAGGAGCTGAGGTCCGAAGGCCTCCGCACCAGGGAAGCCTTCGGTGTTCTGTCAGAGACCCCTAAACCCTACACCCTAAACCCTAAGCCCCAAGCCCTAAACCCTAAACCCTTAGCCCTGAACCCTCAACCCTGACCCTTAACCCTAAAGCCCAAACCCTAAACCCTCAACCCTAAGTCCGAAACCCTAATTCAGTGCCTTCTGGTGCCCAATACACCGGGGGTTTCAGCCGCGGCCAGAAGGTTTCAAAGAGGCCCGCAAAGAGGCTGTTGGGGGTTTATGGGTTTAGGGTTCAGCATCTCATGTCCAAGCATTCACTAGTCAAGCTCGCTACTGTGGTATCGAACATCCACCCACCCACCCTTCGGATCCCATAACCTTAGGAAAACATTTTAAATTTTAACTTCTTCGTCACAAGAACGCAATTGCTCCTAAAGCACCTGCCTCAAGTTCTTTCGTTTTACCACTTCAGCAAAGTTAACACGATTAGCCTTCACCTTGTGTCGAACGAAATGCAGCCGATAAATGAGCAGACGGCTTCATTGATATAGTGAAGTGAAGGACCTGGAAGCTTCCTACTACGGGCTGTCCCGGGGCCGCCTGTCGCCCGGACGTTTGTCCTTGGCCGTTTCGGATGCGGTGCCGGGCCAATTGACCGGGAGCCCCCCGGGACACCCGGGACCCCGGGACGGCAGTCGTTAAAAAGTTCGCCGGCAAATGTCAAAAGTTTGCCGGCAAATGTCAACAGTTCACTGGCAATAGTTTTCTTGCACATTCCGGCGAACTTTTGACAATTGCCTGCGAAATTTTAATTTAACATGTGCCAGTGAAGATTGGACAGTTGCCGGCGAGTTTTGACATTTGCCGGCGAGCTCATTAGGCTTTAGATTTTATGAAAGAGAGGTTTAGGGTTTAGGGTTTATGGGTTTATGGGTTTATGGGTTTAGGGTTTAGGGTTTAGGGTTTATGGGTTTAGGGACAGTCCCCGTGGCCCTTCAGCGCCACGCCACCCCAACAGGCACCAATCAGACCCTACAGGCCCTATACGCCCAATTTCCTGATAACCTGATGCGCGCTCAAACCTTATGCGCGCTCAAGCCTAAAGCCTATGCGCCAAAACAAACCCTCAAACCTGAACCCTCAGCCCAGGACCCCCGAAACCCTACATCCTAAACCCTGAACCCTGAACCCAAAAAGCTGAACACCCGCTTGTCCCAGCCCGCTATAGGGCCCTGAAGTCCCATAGCAAGGCCTTCTCGACCTGCCGGACGCCTGGATCTCACTCCACCTCACAGGAACGGTGGGCATCTTGGGTGTTGAGAGGATTCAGGGTGTAGGGGTGCAGTGTTTAGGGTTTAGGGTTTAGGGTTTAGGGTTTAGGGCTTAGGGTTTAGGGTTTAGGGTTTAGGGTGTAGGGGCTGATGCCTGATGCCGCGCAGCTTGCCATGCATGTCGGGGGCCAGGTTGCAAGGTGCGGCTTTGCAGCTTTGGCGTCCAACCTTGCCCCCGACATGTATGGCACGTGGTGCGGCGTCAGGCATCAGCCCCTAAAACCAAAACCCTAAACCCTAGGCCCGCAGGCTACTGACAAGTAGCAAGTCGCACAGCACAACTGCATGGCACCTATAACCCTAAAACCTAAAACCTAAACCCTAAACCCTGAACCCTAAACCCTAAAATCCCTAAACCCATTACCTGTAACCTTAAACAAAGTTCGTGGTCTTTGCCAGGAGATACGAAGACCGATGAGCCCGACGACACTGGCGGAACCTGGCGAGTCACGCGAACCCAGGGAGCTCCTGAAGTGCTGCAAGATCTGCGAAGTCGCATCGTCGGCGCCGAGGTGGAAGGGGCGGTTGAGGGTTTAGGGTTTGGAGGTTTGGGGTTTGGGGTTGAGGGTTTAGGGTTGAGGGTTTAGGGTATGGGGTTTAGGGTCTAGGGTTTAGCGAACCCGGTTTGCCACCCTAAACCCTAAACCCTAAACCCTAAACCCTAAACCCTAAACCCTAAACCCTAAACCCTAAACCCTAAACCCTAAACCCTAAACCCTAAACCCTAAACCCTAAACCCTAAACCCTAAACCCTAAACCCTAAACCCTAAACCCTGAACCCTGAACCCTGAACCCTGAACCCTAAACCTAAACCCGAAAAACACTAAACCCTAAACCCTAACCCCAAACCCGAAACACTAAACCCTAAACCCTAAACAGCCCCGGAGGATGGCAGCCCGTTCTTGTCCGCTGTGATCACGGAGTTGCCTGGCTGCCACCTGTGGGCCGCCCCCAGCGACCCCGAGGTGAGAGCAGCCAGGGTTTAGGGTTTAGGGTTTAGGGTTTTGGGTTTAGGGCTTAGGGTTTAGGGTTTAGGGTTTTGAGTTTAGGGTTTAGGATATAGGGTTTCGGGTTTAGGGTTTAGGAGGTATAGGCTTTAGGGGTATAGGGTTCAGGGTATGCAGAAGCATGTGCGATTAGGGCCTTGGAATAGAGCTCACCCTTCTCGGGCACCAACGAAAGGCACCATATCACCCCCCCCCCCGCCCTTTTAAGTGCCTAGCCCTTAAACCCCAAACCCATATTTTCAGGCAGATGCGCCTGAGGCCTTCAAGTTTCGGGACCCTAAGTTACTAAGCCCCCAACCCTAAACCGTTAAACCCCAAAACCCTAAACCCTAAACCTCACAGCCCTAAACCCTAAACCCTAAACCCTAAACTCCAGACCCTGAACCCTAAACCCCAAACCCTAAACCCTAAACCCTAAACCCCTATGAAAGTGGCAGGAGGAGGCGGCGCCGAGCTTTGAGGACCAGGCGTGTGCCGCGGTCCTTGAGGCGTTGACGTCCGTGGCATTGCAGAAGGCCGGGTGGCTAGGGGTTTAGGGTTTAGGGTTTAGGGTTTAGGGGTTAAAGAGTTGAGGGGTTTAGGGTTGAGGGATTTAGGGTTTAGGAGTTGAGGAGTTGAGGAGTTTAGGAGTTTTTAGGGTTTAGGAGCTTAGGGTTTTGCGTTTATGTTCTCGAAACCCTGAACCCTAAACCCCGAAACCTTGGGGACCTTGAGTTTTTCGGCCTTCAGTTCGGAATTGCCCGCCTTGCTCGCATCTTACTGAAGCCCTGTACATAAACAGAGCTTGGGTTTAGGGTTTAGGTTTAGGGTTTAGGGTTTAGGGTTTCAGGTTTCGGGTTTAGCGTTAAGGGTTTATGGTGGGGATTTCAGGGTTCTGGTTCCAGAGCTCTTCAGGCTTCAGTGACCCTGAACCCTGAACCCTGAACCCTAAACCCTAAACCCTCATCCAGAACACCAAAGGGCTTAAAAGAGGGTCAAAGGAGTCAAGGGTTAAAAGAGTTGAAATGTGTCAGCCATAAACCCTAAACCCCAAACCCTACTAAACCCTAAACCCTAAACCCTAAACCCCAAACCCTAAACCCCAAACCCGAAACCCCAAACCCCAAACCCCAAACCCCAAACCCTTTCTCTCTCTCACGTCGAGGCTGCCTACAAGGAGTGGTGCGAGGCCCTCCCGAAGCAGCGCATCTCCATCCCGGACATGCCTGAGAAGGATCAGGCGGGGTTTAGGGTTTAGGGTTTAGGGTTTAGGGTTTAGGGTTTAGGGTTTAGGGTTTAGGGTTTAGGGTTTAGGGTTTAGGGCCCTCAACCCTGAACTTCCCTAAGCCCTAAAAGCCCTAGACCTTAAAGCCCTAAACCCTAAAGCCTTAAAACCCTAGAACCCCAAGGCCTAAAGCCCTGAAGCCCTACACCCGAAAACCCCAGGCACTGAAAGCCCTTAAAGCCTTCAACCAGGGGTTGGGTCGACCCTTGAACCCATCAGAAAGGCAGTGATGGGGTTCATGGGGGGTAGGTACCTAGGGAGCCTTAGGGAAGCGTAGGGAGCCTTCGGCCTTCGGGAGTGGTGGGGAATATTCGGGAACCTTGGGTTTCAAACCCCCCCCCCCAGCAGGTGCAGGTTTTTTAAGGTCTAGGACTTTAGAGGTTTTAGGGTTCAGAGTTTAGGGGTGTAAGGCTTTGAGGGTTTAGGGTTTAGGGTAGGGGCTTTAGGGTTTTCAGTGCTTAGGCCAAAGGGAGGGCGGTTCAAGGGGATTATGTGACCCAAGGTTCCCTAATACTCCCCACACTCCCTAAGCCTCCCTAAGCTTCCCTAAGGTTTCCTCGGTACCTATGGGCCCCAGAAGCTGGCGCAACACGCAGGCTTTAGTGTTCAGGCAGCAGGGTTTGCGGTTTGGGGTTTAGGGTTCGTGTGTACAGGGGTTTAGGGTGGGCTGAAGGTTTCGGGTTTAGGGTTTAGGGTTTGGCATTTGTGGAGGACGGGGCGGGGGTTCGTCGCACACAGAATAAGCACGCTTCGTCAGGAGGACGAGGGCACCCCTCCGATGCCGACAGATCTGCACCTTGGTGTTTCCGAAATTAGAGTTACCTTACTGGTGTCCCTAATTATACGGGAATCCTACAATTTGGGGGTCTCTATTCGGGGTCCTCTATTTTCGTAACCCTCCCTGCTTGCTTGGGAGAAGCCTTATTTGGCGTATTTAGGTAAGGATCCTACACCCTAAGCCCTAAACCCTAAGCCCTAAACCCGAAGCCCTAAACCCTAAACCCTAAACCCTAAACCCTACAGGTACGAGTGCTTGGCTGCGTCCGTAGACTCCTCGCACCACGACGTGCCCTTCTTGCTCTACTGCCTCTGCGAGCAGGTGGGTTTAGGGTTTAGGGTTTAGGGTTTAGGGTTTAGGGTTTAGGTTTTAGGGTTTAGGGGCGCCTTCTGGACGAGCTTTGTTTCTTTTTCCCCAGTCCTCCAACCCTTCAGAACCCGAAGCCCTGAACCCTATACGCCAGATTAGGGTTCAGGATTTAGGGTTCAGAGAATACCAGGTGAACCACTGCCTTCGCAGAGAATACCCTAAACCCTAAACCCTAAACCCTGAACCCTAAACCCTAAACCCTAAACCCTAAACCCTAAACCCTAAACCCTAAACCCTAAACCCTAAACCCTAATTAAACCCTAAACCCTAAACCCTAAACCCTATACCAGGTGAACCACTCCCTTCGCGGAGACGCGCCGGAGGTTGTGGCCGGGAAGAAGAAGCGCTCCCCGCAGCAGGCGGGAGCGAAGCTTTTAGGGTTTGCAGCTTCAGGTTCAGGGTTTAGGGTTTAGGTTCAGGGTTCAGGGTTCAGGGTTTAGGGTTTAGGGTTTCGGGTATAGGGTCTAGGGTTTAGGGTTTAGAGTTTAGGGTTCTTGGTGTATAGGTTGGAATGTTTCCCCCTTATACTACCAGTCCTGAAAAGAAAAGCGTAGTACCCCCCATTACAATCCCTTTTTACGGACTGCTAGTGTAAAGGGGGAACATGCCAATGTATAGGGCTTGGGGTTCAGGGTTTACGACCATAGGCTCCCACCCTACATTCTACATGCCCCTAAAGGGATACCCGTACCTGCAATTCACCGCCTTACACCCCCTTTAAGGTTCAGGGCCTCCGTAAGATGTCACGTCACCCCGCTCCCCGTGTAATCAGCAACAAGTTTGCCTCGGCAAACATGTGCCCCAGCCACGACGGCAGATAAGGGAAAGGAGGGAGGCAAAGAGGCTTGGGGCGAGGGGGGGGGGGGGGGGGGTGCCCCACTTGGCTTGCTGAGGCAAGCGCAGCAGTGGGCAGTGCCCGCCAGCGGGGCAAGCGACCCTTCCACCCCACCCAACAGGGCAGCAACAAGTCTGCACCACTGTTAGCCCACTGCCAGGCAGACTTGTCGGGGTTCTGTTATGAGGCTTTCTCCCCCTCTGGGCGTGTCCTGTCGCCCGCAGCCACACGTTTGCTTCATAGATTTTGCCTTTCGAGGCCCCCGCGGTCCTAAACCCCAAAACCTGAACATCAAACCCTAAGCTGGGGGCATGTGGGAGAAGTGGGGCAAGTACTTGCTTTCTCGAATGCGTGAGGTTCTTCTAACCCTGAACCATTAAACCCTGAACCCTAGATCCCTAAACCCTACATCCGAAACCCCTAAACCTTAAACCCTCCACAAACCCTCCTAGCCCCTGATCACACCCAGTTCCCGTCTCCAGGTGCAGGACGCAGCCAAAAAGGACTTTAAGGAGATGAACGCCTTCCTGGATCAGGACCCCACCCTTCGTTCAGGGTTGAGGTTCAGTTTAGGGTTCAGGGTTTAGGGTTTAGGGTGTAGGGTTTCGCCAAGAACCACAAAACTCAGCAAGTTCCCTTCAATTCAATACTTGCTAGCCCAGTGGTGCCCTTGCCCGCTTTAGGGTTTCGGGTTTAAGGTTCAAGGTTCCCGGACAATAAACCGACCCAAGTTACTGGTAGCCGTAGATGGAAGGGACCATGTTGCCTGAGTATTGTAGCTTAAGATGCCTCTTGCAGCCTCCCTAAAACCACCACAAGCCTGGGCCTCTAACCCTAAACCCTAAATAAACCCTAAACCCTAAACCCTGAATTCCCACCCAGGCCTGCTTAGGCCGTACCCACCCTTTTCTAGGGTGCCTGGACCCAGAACTACCCCCCCGCCCTGCCCGACCCCTTGGCGCCCTTGCCCACCTAGCCTCCCTGGCTCGCTGCTGACCCCCCCCCTACGCTTGATGGTACTCCATGCCTTTCATGTTGTCTCCTGGAAACTAAACAGAAACTCATTAAAGGAAAACAGTTGGGTGGATGCCTGCGTAAGCAGGGGGTGGGGAAAATAGAACCACCCAACCTTTCTGGTTGTGGTGGGTCCAACTTCAATATATGCCGCCGCGACATACGCCGCCCCCTCACACCCCCTGGGTGTGTTGGGGCGCCATCTCCGCATGAAATCTACTGCGCCCCTAAACCCTAAACCTTAAACCCTAAACCCTAAACCCTAAATCCTAAACCCTTAACTCTAAACCCTAAACCCTAAAGCCTACAAAAAGAACTCTTGAGCCGCAGGCCAGTGACATCCTCCTCCTGGGCAAAGATGCCCCAAAGGACGAGGACTTCGAAGTTTCGTGGTGCTCTTTTGCTTTTTATGTAGTTTCTCGGGCTTGGGGTTTAGGGTTTAGGGTTTAGGGTTTAGGGTTTAGGGTTTAGGGTTTAGGGTTTAGGGTTCAGGGTTCAGGGTTTAGGGTTTAGGGTTTAGGGTTTAGGGTTTAGGGTTTAGGGTTTAGGGTTTAAATTTAGGGTTTAGGGTCTAGGGTTTAGGGTTTCGGGTTTAGGGTTTAGGGTACCCTGTTGCCTTTTTTTCAGGGTTTCCTAAGTAGCCCCGAAATAGCCCCCAAAGAACTCCTAAGGTCCCTTATAAGGGTCCCTCTCTTAGTCCCTTGGCTTTTAGTTTCTCGAGTTTCGGGTTTAGGGTTTAGGGTTTCGGGGAATGGTTTAGGGTTTAGGCTTTCGGGTTAAGGGTTTAGGGTGTAGGGTTGGCCCCCTTATAAAGTAACCAATCCCCCCCCAAAAGAAAAGGGTTCTGCACCCTAAGTATAGCATGGTTCCCGGGCTACCTAAGAGGATGAAGAGGTGCAGCCGGAGGGAAGCCTCATCGACATGATGGAGAAGGACAGCATAGGGTTGTGGGTTTAGTAGCCGAATGTGATGCAAAAGAATGGAGATATGATATACCGCAAGAGCCCTAAAGCCCTAAACCTGAACCCAATCCCTTCAAAACCCGGAACTCCAAACTCCAAACCCCTGAACCCTATGCCCGAAGCCCCAAAACCCCTGGTGTCAACACCCACCACCCCCCTAAACCCCAAACCCCAAACCCCAAACCCCGAACCCCCGAACCCAGACCCCAGACCCCAGACCCCAAACCCCAAATCCCAGACCCCAGACCCCAGATCCCAGACCCCAGACCCCAAACCCCAAACCCCAAACCCCAAACCCCAAACCCTAAACCCTAAACCCCAAACCCCAAACCCCAAACCCTAATCCCTAATCCCTAAACCCCTACCCCTCCCCCCGCTCCCCCCATCGTAGGAGGAGGCGGCCGCCCAAGGCAAGGTCGAGGAACAGCCCTACATCCCCGGCCCTTTGGACTTAAGGGTTTAGTGTTTAGGGTTTAGGGCTTGAGGTTTGAGGTTTAGGGTTTAGGGTTTAGGGTTTAGGGTTAGGGTTTTCGGGAACTTGGCCAAGGTTTGGACTTAAAAATGAGGGTTCAGGGGTCACCAGGGTTGCACCTAGTTGAACTCTAAAGGTTTAAGGTTTCGGGGTTCGGTTTAAGACCTAAGCCCCACAGTCCTAACCCTAAACCCTAAACCCTAAGGCCAAAACCCTAAACCCTTAAAGATGAACAAAGATAAACTTGACAATTCTGCGGGGTGGGGAGGTGCGGTTCCTCTAAACCCTAACCTCCCAGCCTAAACCCCAAACCCTAAATGCTAACCCTCCAACCCCTAATCCTAAACCCTAAGCCCTAGCCCTAAACCCCAAACCCAACAACCACAAAGCCTCACCCCTTATACCCCCCAAACTGGCCCAGGGATGGGTCCTCCCCCGGGTGTGGGCTCCGTGCCCAGCGACACGGGAGACGAGTACGTGATCCCGCAGCTCGTTCTGAACCCGATTCGGGGTTTAGGGTTTAGGGTTTAGGGTTTAGGGTTTAGGGTTTAGGGTTTAGGGTTTAGGGTTTAGGGCTAGGGTTTAGGGTTTAGGGTTTAGGGTTTGGAGCCCGAAGCTATGAACCCCTCGACCTTAAACCCTAATTACACCCTAAATCTCCAAGCTCCCCCCCGAGGCTAAACCCTAAACCCTAAACCCTAAACTCTAAACCCTAAACCCTAAACCCCAAACCCTAAACCCTAAACCGCATTCTTTTCGGGTCGATGCTCAGCAGTCGTCCTGTAGGGGTCTCCTCTCTGAATGGGACGCCGTGGCCTTGGCTTGAGCTCATCTTTGGCCCACGGCTTAGGGCCTTGGGCCAGGGTTTAGGGTTTAGGGTTTAGGGCGTCCTCATTTGGGTTTGAAGATGGTTTGAGTTCAGGATTCAGGGTTGAGGTTTCAGGGTTTTGGGGGGGTGTTAAGAATGACCGGACCTATTTCAACAATGTGCTGCAGAAAAAGGGTCAATCCGTTCAGGGTTCAGACCCTGCATGCAGGATCTCCGCCCCCCCCCCCCCCGCCCCCCCTCCCCCTAAGCCACGGCCTGACGGCAGCAGCCCCCTAAAACCCAAAGCCCTAAGCCCTAAACCCTAAACCCTAGACCCTAAACCCTAAACCCTAAAACCAGCCGAGGTACTACGATCGGGTGAGCTGCAGACATGCTGGAGATCGGCTCGCCGGGGGCAAGTCGGTGATGTTGGAGCTGCTGAGTTTGAGATGAGGGGGCGGGGCAGTTCGGGTTTAGGGTTTAGGGTTTAGGGTTTAGGGTTTAGGGTTTAGGGTTTAGGGTTTAGGGTTTAGGGTTTAGGGTTTAGGGTTTAGGGTTTAGGGTTTAGGGTTTAGGGTTTAGGGTTTAGGGTTTATCCTTAGTTAAGGGGTCTTGGGCTCTTTGGGTTAAGGGTGTGCATTTCGTATGCAAGCGCATCGCAAGGGTCTACTGTTGTACTAGTATTTAGGGATGTTATAGGAGCGCATTTTTCCGAATCCCAAAACCCACAACCCGAAACCCTAAACCCGAAACCCTCCAACCCTAAACCCAAACGTTCGGCAAGGGATTGGGCCTTGACGGCCAGTATACCTTCGTGGAAGACTTCAGTCCTCCACCTTAGGCGAAAGTCTCAGACCCTACTTAGGGTTGGGGTTTAGGGTTCGGTTTTACCCGCGAAATCCTTAGTTGCTCTGAGCCTGAAAGCCCTAAATGCTCAATCCCTGGTCTAAATTCTCAACACTAAACCCAAAACCCAAAACCCTAAACCCTAAACCGTAAGCCCTCAACCTAAACCTCCAATTGTCAGGCCTTTGTGGCTGTTTCCGTATCCTTCGGGAATGGCCACGGCATTCTTGTCTCTCCAGGAATGGAAAGTGGTTGAGCCTTTGATAGGAACCACTTCCCTACAGGGGACTCTGTTAAGCATTCTAGAAGCGTTATACATGGAGGCCATGTAACCCTAAACCCTAAACCCTGCCTCTTCAGGTCCTCGCATTTCCCCTTTGAACACCTCTGGATCCCTGAGCCCTAAACCCTAAACCCTAAACCTAAACCCTAAACCCCAAACCCTAAACCCTAAACCCCGAACCCCGAACCCCGAACCCTAAACCCTAACCCTAAACCCTAAACCCTAAACCCTAAACCCTAAACCCTAAACCCTAAACCCTAAACCCTAAACCCTAAACCCTAAACCCTAAACCCTAAACCCTAAACCCTAAACCCTAAACCCTAAACCCTAAACATTGCCTCTCGTGGTTCCCTGCACTTTTGCCCTGTAAACACCTCAGGCTGGAGCAGGTCCTGTCACACCTGAGCGCCCCGGGCATCGGCCGGAGCGACTTCCCGAGGTCTCGTGGCCCGCAGTGGTGGTTCTGACTGCGGGTGTGGTTGGTTTCAGGGTGTAGGGTTGAACCCTAAACCCTAAACCCCTAAACCCCTAAACCCCAAACCCCAAACCCTAAACCCCCTAAACCCTAAACCCTAAACCCTAAACCCCTAAACCCCTAAACCCCTAAACCCCTAACCCTAAACCCTAAACCCTAAACCCTAAACCCCTAAACCCCTAAACCCCTAAACCCCTAAACCCCCCTAAACCCCTAAACCCCTAAACCCCTAAACCCCTAAACCCTAAACCCCTAAACCCCTAAACCCCTAAACCCCTAAACCCCTAAACCCCTAAACCCCTAAACCCCTAAACCCCTAAACCCCTAAACCCCTAAACCCCTAAACCCCTAAACCCCTAAACCCCTAAACCCCTAAACCCTAAACCCTAAACCCTAAACCCCAAACCCTGAACCCTAAACCCCTTGACCCCAAACCCCAAGCCTTCATGATGTTTGGGGTTCAGCGTCTGGTGGCGGGCGAGGTCTCTGGCTTGAACACCAATGTGCAAAGAAGAGTTGGGTTTCAGGGGTGGGAGTGCCGAGTAGCAACACGGATCACCCACGGAAGTGTCCTGAGGACTGAATAGGGTTTAGGGTTTAGGGTTTTAGGGTTTAGGGTTTGGGGTTTAGGGTTTAGGGTTTCGGGTGACTTGATGTCAGGAGAGTGCCGATGGACCCCGCCGAGAGATCTGCCTTCAGATTCTTGGCTGCAGGTTGTCGATGTAGACATTCCTCCAAGCTTGACAGGGTTTTTTCCGGAGGATAAGGGTTTAGGGTTTAGGGTTTAAGGTATAGGGTGCGGCCCGAATCCCTAACCCTGAACCCTAAGCCTGGCCCCAGGCTCATGTTGTAATGTTGGACCCTCCGCCTGTTGGGCCCGGTGTTTTTTTCGTTCCTAACGTTGGCCCTGGCTTGTTTGCCTTGGTAACGTTGGCCCCAGGCCTTCTGGTCATCTGGTCCCGTGGTCCTGTGGTCCCGTGGTCCTCAGGTCCCCTGGTCCTTTGGTCCTCTCCTCTGGTCCCGCGGTCCTCTGGTCCCGTGGTCCTCTGGTTCCGTGGTCCTCTGGTCCCGCGGTCCTTGGGTCCCGCGGTCCTTGGGTCCCGCGGTCCTTTGGTCCTCTGTCCCGTGGTCTCCCGGTACCGCGGTCATTTGATTGTATCAATGTAATATGTTTTCGTAGTAATAGTAGAATAAGGCATGTAGTATGGTCCCGCGTTTCCCGGTCCCGCAATCAGATTTTGGTTGTAATAATTTCTGTAGTATAACGTAGTATCATATAATACGTGAAAATATATAGACAACATACATATATCATATATACAAAAATGGCTTATAAGAATATATACATATAATATAATACCATATAACTATTTTTTGTATATACTAAATATGTATTGTGTTTTATTTATTCTACGTAGAATAAACTATAACATATAGGTTATGAAAACATATTATAGATTAATAACTCTGTATATATAAATAAATATCTATTTATTCATTTCTTTCTTTATTTATTAGATATTGACATTGAATAAATATACAATATAGACAGCACATTATATTTTTTTTTTTTGGGGGGGGGGGCGGCAGGCTTGCTTCAACGCGTATGAATCCTTCCAAACCCATGATGCGAGCATTGTGTTTGCAAATGGGGGGGGCTGCGCCCCCCCCCCCAACCCCCCCGCTGTTCTTTAAGCCGGGCAAGCTTGCTTTAAAGCATATGAACCCCTTCCAAACCCATGATTCGAGCAATGTCTTTGCAAAATAAACATCAACACACAAGAAGGTACAATCATGTACAAGAATATACAGGAATTCAACATATTTACAATAATATCCAATAATATACAATAATATACAATAATATACAATAATATACAATAATATACAATAATATACAATAACATACAATAATATACACTAATATACAATAATATACAATAATATACAACTATTTACAAAAATACAGCTATAGACCAGAAGATACAGTAATATACAATAAAAAACATTAACAATAATATACAGCAAAATACAACAATATACAGCAATATACAACAATATACAACAATGTACAATAATATACAATAATATACAATAATATGCAAGAATATACACTAATATATAACAATACACAACAATTTACAATATTTCACTGTCATATCCAATAATATACAGTAACATAGAATACTATACAACAACATACAACAATATACAAGAACTGAGAATGGTATGCAAGAATATTGCGAATATACATCAATTTTCAATAATATGCAACCATATGCACTAATGTACAATAATGTACAGGAAAATACAAGACAATGCAATAATATTCAATAATACACAGCAATATACAATATCTACAATAATATACAAGAGCATGCAACAATTTACAACATTATCCAATACTATACAATAATATACAATATTTTGCAATAATATTTAGTAATATACAACAACATACAGGAATGGACAATATTTTGCAAGAATATACAGTTAGCTATAAGAAGATACTACCATAAAGAAAATACAATAATATTCCATAATATACAAGATTTTTGAATAATTCACGACAATATGCAATAATATACAAGACATTCAAGAATACGCAACAATACGCGCTAATAAGCAAAAAAATACATAAGAATAGCTTACAACATTATACAATAATTTTCAATAGTATACAACAATATACGAAAATATACAATAATATACAAAACATTCAATAAAGTGCAACAATCAAGAAGACTATGCAAGAATGAAGCAATATACAAGAATGGTGAATAATATCAATAGCATTCAAGAATATACAATCATGTACAATAGTGCATTAATAGAATAGCGTAAACATGTTGTGTTTTTCATCATTTAGAGCCTGCAAGCAGGTGCAATGCTGCAATCTACAGCATTTCAAGCTTTGTAATACGCAGAAATGTTGTGTTTTTAGGCGTTTAGGGCCTACAAGCACCCGGAAATGCTGCATTTCATGGCATTTAGAGCCAGGAATTGCTTGGCCAACGTTAGCAAGGACCACGAGCCAGGGCCAACGTTAGGAAAAAAAACACCTCCGCCTGTTTAGTTGGGGGCTTAGGGTTTAGGGATTAGGGTTTATGGTTTTGGGGTTTAGGGATTAGGGTTTAGGTTTTAGGTTTTCGGGTTTAGGCTGGGCTATTCAGAACCCTGGGACTGTTTGGGGTGCCCGGTGGGATCCTCTGTTAAGTCAAAGCTTTCGGGTGGTTTCGTGTGGCGTGCCTTAAAATCAGTTGAGAGGGCCTCTCGGTCCCTTTTGAGCTTCCACTCGCTTATTTAACTTTGGATAAAATCCTGGGACCATGTAAGGAGGGACCAAATCAACCTCGATGGTTCAAGGGGGGCACCACACTAAACAGGGTCCAACATTGCTTGCCCTTGACCTGAACCCGAAATCGTCCTGAAAAACTGTCCTGAAACCAATTGAGTTAGCCCTAAGCCCTAAACGCTAAACCCTGAACCCTGAATTCTCCGTGTAAGGGAGGGGGGCCCTGCTTCTAACCCGAACGAAGCCCTAAACCCCAAACCGCAAAACCCAAAGCCTAAACCCTAAACCCTAAACCGCAAATCCCAAACCCTAAACCTCAAACCACAAGCCCCAAACCCCAAACCCCAGACCTTGTTGGGGTCCGTTTGATAAGGGAATCCTACCATTTGGGCTCTGTATTACAGGTCCCTTATTCTCGCAAACCCTCATTTGTTACAGTTTAGCTTCCCCTTTGCCAACGTACCCTGGTGTAGGGCTTAGGGTTTTAGGGTCCAGGGTTCAGGGTTTAGGGCCTTAGGGTTTAGGGTTTAGGGCGGAGACAATGTCTGATAGAA